GTTTTGTAATGCTTCTTATATATTCTACTGTTACGGCTATTGCTAAGTTTCAAGGGTACATTTTACACTGTTGAGTACAGTCCTATACTCTGCCTCAGACCTTATCCCTCCAACAGAGCCAATCATTCATTTCAGTTCAGCAATGACATTTACTATGATATCACAGGCAATGGAAAGTACAAGACTTGAAAGAAGACTGGAAAGAAACAAAGTCACATGCCTGCTCTTACGTAGTCTTAAATCTGTGGGAAAAAAAAAGACAATCCCCTATGAAAGAAACAAAGTAGGTAAGCATGGTCAGGTGTGTAGTGTTAGCTTAGTGTCCATATACACATGCAAACTAGTATAATTATATTATACATATATATATCATATTGTATATATATGTGTATATATATGATATATATGATATATATATATATGACAAATTGGCATTTTTGAGATTTGTTTTCTCTCCTAAAGAATACTAACAATAACTTTTATGTAAAAACCACTCTATTTATCCTATATATAACTAAGTACTCATTGCAATGATTGTCTTGCCTCCAAAGCAGTCTCTCAGTGTTGCTATTTGGACATTCCCTTTCAACAACATCTAAAATAGTGATTTAAAATTATTTAGAAATTCTGATGCCCTATTGTTAATGTGATTTTTGCAACACTTTTCCATTTTTACTACTTACATGTGATTTTAAATTAAAACTGATTTTGAGGGCTGGAGATTTAGTTCAGTGGTTCCGGCACCTGCCTCGCAAGTGCAAGGTCCTGAGTTTGATCCCCAGTACCAAAAAAAGAAAACAATAAAACCCTAATTTTGTTTTGCAATTTTGAAATGCCTCTACTAATAATTTAAAATACATTGGGTTTGTCAATATTGGAAAACATATCAAGGTAATCACACACCAGAATCCAGAACTGATTCTAGGGGTATATTATGTCTGTATTTTTCCATATTGATTCTGATACCCTCTTAGTCATTTCTTGAGCATTCTGAAGTGCTTCACACAAAACACATAGTAAGCTTTATCATTTGAGGCAACATTATATAAAAGCTCTGCTAGTTAGGTGAAGCTAGATCATGATTCCAGCTTTGCCTTAGTCTAGGAGAGCTCTCAATGGGCCAAAAAAGAAGAAAACATTATTAAGACATCACACTTTTTACAAGAACAAGAGGAGGGCTGGGCATTTAGCTTAGTGGTTCTACTGCTTGCCTCGCAAGCTCAAGGTCACAAGTTTGATTCTGTGGTATGTGCATGAAAAATTCTCTTTATAAAGTAGATCTTTTGAGATAAATTTCCAAAAGAATTCCTTGCTTGGGGTCCTTTTGAACTGAAGGTTGGCAAGCGAACCTTTCAATAGCATTGGGGTGGAAATCACAATAAGTAAACTATTATAAAGAAATTCATAAACTAAATACAGGGTTATATTTCTGAATAAAGGGATCCCTGTGACTAGAAACACAGACCTAGTGATAATAGGTAGTCCATTTCCCTCCAGTGCCTTTTAGGGTGAAATTGTGGATTTCTATTTAAGTGTGCCTATCACTAAGGCACTGCAGTGGCATCAACAAAGCTCATCTCCCTAGTATCACCAGATTCTACTTTCTGTTAAGGTACGTAGATCTTTCAAAGTACATCTTCATGTGTTCTGTTGAGACTAGCTACACAGCCAGCCAGGCAGCTATTTCTGCTCAAGTAGGGTAAACAAGGCAGAAGAGTCATGTAAAGGAAGAGAGTCTTCCTTGCTGAGGTGGAACCAAACAGAAAACCCTCTGCACTTATAGCCCATTGTCCTCATAGCTCTCATTTTACTCTGTGATCAGCAGACAAAATATATACTAGAGAAGAAATAATTAAAGCTACTAGAATTTCTAGAAAGAAAACACAAGTTTTGCCTACTTTAGGGAAGAGATCATTACAGTATTAATGAAAAGAGATGGTTAACGTCTGCTGCCCAAGTGCAAGGACCTGAGTTCGATCCCCGGTACCAAAAAAAAAAAAGAGAGAGATGGTTAAATTCAACCCATTAGATTCAAATATAGTTCCAAAGTGCATCTAAAGAAAACACTGTTTCTTCTATTCTTAAATATAAAGTCTGCAGGCTAATGTTATATGCTCATCTCATACCTGTTTCTTCCTTTGCCTCAGAAAGGATTACTATCTAACATTCACTGTGTAAAATGAAGAACAGATAAAACATATACCCATTAAATTCTGAATCCAGAGCAAGAAGAGGGTAAATTCTTAGCACAGCATGAGTCTTGTTAACAAAGATAGAGATCAGTTTCTAAGGCATTGAAGGAAGCTACTGGAGATCTTTGCTATTGTATCTTGAGTTGAAGATATGGTGGTGTAAGAAAACTTGTGGTTAATGCTGCATATTGTGAGGTTTTTCCTTCCTATCTGAGACCACAGCAACAGATTTAAGTGTAGGTGGAAACAACAGGTCATGTGTGTTTATTCATTATAATCTGTGTTAATTTCTTCTATTGTATGTGAATTAGAAAGAAAAATACTAAATCCTTTGATATAAGCCTTGTTACAAATACACATATAACTATGCTTTCTTTCTTATCCCTTTGATCTTTATGCCCATTTTTCCTTGTTTAATTTGTGGCCTGACTTTACATTACTAGATGATTTCTGGTAGATGGAACCCTCGTGACTTCTCTGTCCATACAAGCTGCCTAGTTCATCACAGTACTTTCAAAGGAACTTTCTGCTACCAATGACATTGACTAATTGGTTTTGAAAATGATGATATCTGTAAATATGACATAATATCAGGAGACAACATTTATAGCTGGTCAAAAGAATGTTTAACCCTACAAAAGACTCATAATTACCAGGCAATAAGTATGTAAATTTTCCTTTCTGAGTTAAAACTAAAGGCTCTAGAGGTCCTGAGTTAGTCTTCAGTTATTGTATTGAAACTGATTAATGCTGTTTATTAGCAATTTCTTTCCTCAGTCCCAACAAAAATCACCTTAAAATCTTCTATGATTTGTGGCATATTTCAGAAACCCACATGGAAGCCATGTTCTCAAATGTTAGGAACCCGAGTTAAAAATCAAAATTCAGAAAGATTTAACTCCAATCTACTTAGAAGTTATTGCTGGTTCAGCAGGTCCAAGGAAGAAGCCACCTGATGATTCCATCTAGGCAGATTAAGGGTTCCAGGAAATTCTCCTAGTTATATGAAAACCTGGATTTGGTCTGAGTATGACCTACAACTTGGCAAGGTTTTTCACATTTATCCTAGATTGGATACAGATCTCCAAGATGAGACTGGTACCTGGTAAACTCTCATTTTCCCATTCCCGTCTTTAAAGTTCAGATTCATGATATTCCTATCACAAAATATGGTCAAGGTTACACATGGGTTGAGAAAACACAGTACTTTAGTAACTAACATGTTGCACCATTATGAGTCTTCCTGACAGACCATGAAAGGCCCATAAGCTATTATCTAGGGAAAGTTGATATAATATTGTTGTAATGACTCAATTTATACATGACCCATTTCACTTACGTAACAGAGAGGACAGCTGAGAAATGTTTGAAAATATAAGTAGTTTTTGTTTCAGAGACAACCTTATCTCGCCAACCTCCTAATATTTCTTCTTCATGTCCCTAAATATCTATCACAGAAGCTAAAGCTACTTCACCCAGAAAGTCCTAGTGGCCTTATAAATGTGTATTTCTTCATAAAACAGCAACAACAATTTAGTCTCAAGTATTGTAGCATACGTAAAACATAAAAAAGCAAACAAAAAAAATCATCTAGAACACAATTTTTAAAATGTACTAGCAATACACTATCACTTGATGTTTATAAAACTCACCAAATCCAGAGTGTACAATACCATTTACTTCCATTTTTGCAATAATACTTTAAAAAATTCTCATTTATGTATATAGTGTGAAAAATGACATCATATAAATGAGGCAGACAAACAGAAAGGTTCAGAAAGCACATGTAAGATGCCTATGAACTATCTAGTAAGTGTTGCCAGTTGTGAAAAGATCTGACATGCTAATACACACTCATTCAGACCTGTTACTAAGGCACTAAGAGCAAGATGGTTGGCAGGATCTGCATTTAAGTTGTGGTCAAGGCCGTCAAATATCGAGAGAGTGCCAGATTCTAGGAAACTATTGATATACACAGCCAGCCACAGCTCCAGACACCTCTGAGACAGTCTTTAAATGTCACAGATAAATGAATTTTCATAAAACTGAGAGAGAGAGAGAGAGAGAGAGAGAGAGAGAGAGAGAGAGAGAGGGAGAGAGAGAACAAGAGAAAGAATACAGAATGAGAGGCAGGAAAAGAAAGAAAGAAAAATCACCTCCATAATACTAACATGAAAGCATGTGGCATCTCATCTTTGAAGCTCAATCAGAACTCCTGACAAAGGCTGTGAGAGCAAGTCTTCTGAATGCATTGTGTTCCCTGGCACATGAACATCCTTAATCAGTACAACCAGTGCAGACAACGTCTCTGAAGGTGTACCTTGACTTAGAACAACGGTCTTACATGTTTTATATGTTTTTTTGCCTATTAATCTGTTTTTAATCTGTATACATGATAATTAACTTTACAAGGTCTTATAAATCAATGAATCTGACGCTGGCAAAAATAAAAGGGGGGTATAGTTGAAAGGAAGGAAGGGGAAAAAAGTTGCAGTGTTCTATGTATATGTAGGAATTCCCTACAATGAATGTAATCATTATGGACTGCAAACATGTACTAATAAAAGTAAAAAAATCAATAAATTAATTTAAAAGATAAAAAGTTAAAAGGATACTTATTATAGAATAGCTTCAACAAGCCAGTTCTGAACAAAATATGGTTCAAATATAAATACTACCTAACTACAAATTCAAAATAAAACAAAATGAGGACGCACAGGCACAAATAAACATGGGAAAAGTCTCCTAAATCATTCTCCACATATATTAAAGATTAAAAATCAAGGTATCATGAAATCTGTTTCTCACCAAGGTTCAGATGTGTCCTCTGGCAGTTTCTTTCCAGACTCTTACCGAAAGTAGTGACCCTTGGTGGGTTTATCACAGGATATGGAAGGATGCCTTCCTCCTCCACTTCCCTTTTCCTGCTTTTCCACAGAAAACTCCTGCTGGGAAATATATGAGGTAAATCAGTTGCTTGATAGATGATTTTAATAGAAATGAGCCATGGTTATACCTAGAACAACCAATTACTCCTTAGAAATCATGGGTAACTCAGTATATTTTAAATGTAAATGAAGCTTTTTTAGTTGGAAAATCTTCCATCTGCTGAGGGCACCTTCTCTTGACCTTGATACACTGTGTCATTAAAAGCAGCCACACTTTCAAGGTTAGAATATGTCTTGCTTGTACATTTACTTTTCTGTATTAGATTTGTACAATCTCTACATTTTACATAAGTAATCATGCCGAAGCCTACAAACAAAATTCTTCCTCAAAAAACACACTGGTGAATTCTTTCAAAAAAATCTGCAGCAAAATGATTTCACCAAGCTTCAGTGGCTTTTTTGCTAGAATTACAATAAACTTTGGTATAAATTGTTTTACTGGATCTAGCTCTCTTTGTCATGGGTACCTAAGACATTAGCAGGTAGTTTGAGAATAAAGTTCCACAGCCTAAATATTCAGTAAAGGTTTTGTTTTTGCATCAATTTTTCAGTGTTTTCTTATTACCTTTCTTTTTTTATGTTAGGAGATAAAATGAAAGGATTTAGATTTCCTGCCATGGGAAAAATAATTATTTTCCCTGTTTTCAAAGGCTTTTATTTTGAAGACAAAATCAGTTTTAACTCAAATGGAAATTGCAGTAAAATCTCAGACACTGTAATCAGTGACTGCATTAAAACTCTGCAGAAGAATGCCAACTTCCATGTGAGGCCACAATTCAGCCAGGATCACAAAGAGACATTATCCACTTTGCCTGTGGCCATTCTGACATTTTATATAGTAAAATTTATATACTATAAAATTAAGGTTCGAGGGAATCTTCTCTAATATGTTAAATACATATCCACATACATACCTACATATAGAAATAATGATTTTTTCCTGTGATCATATAATAAACAGAAAGTTTAGGGTTATCTTAGACTAAGGTCTAGTAAATACTTTTAAAAAGGTTGTTATATTTTTCTGATTATATAAATAATAGTGTACACAAAATATTCAGTTGACTGGTTAAAGCAAATAATGGTACACCCATGAAAAAATATTGTAAAGTTGCCAAAGAGATTCTAAGACATTATGTATGGTACAATGCCTTTTATATGAATAAAATGTGTGTATACATAAACTTTTTTTTCTGGAAGGATATATAAAACAAGATATACTTTAAGGTATTTGGGGGTGGTGAGAAAGAGAATTTTACTTTAACGTATATTATTCTGTTCTGTCTGAATTTTTCAATCATGTGTTTGAAAGATAAAGCTATAGATAGATATCTAAGTGGCAAGTTTTGAGATTTTTTTCTTTGTTTTATCTCTATATTGGAACATTTATTATGTTATTTTAAAAGAAATATATCCAAAGTAAATTATGTAAAAGTGATTTTTGCTAATGATAAGAACTTTAAAACACTAAAAAAAGCATAAATACAAGAAAAGTCACTTCTAATTTTTTTATTAACAATAACAACTGTTGAATTTTTGGTGGATAATGTCAGGTTTGCAAAGTCTCTTCTCCTTTCTAAATTTTGAGAAAAAAAGAGCCTTTATATTCCCTTAGGTAGAATTGGGGAGAAAACAGCTCTCTATGTGCTTTTCTGTCATATACCTTTTGGCTACCATCTACTGGAACACTGCTTTTGACTGGCAAGAAAATGTTGAAGCAGCATAGGTTGTATGTGACATTTCTCAAAATGACACATGTCCGACCTTTGTCTGCTCTTGTCCCCTGAAAAGCATGATCTTGGGATGGCCTCAGGATAGAACATGGTATCTCATTATGGAAGCCATGGAGTTGGAGGCAGAGGTGGCCTGATGACGCCCTACAATCATAATGTTTGGACTAAAATACTTTCTGGAGGACTCAGAAATGATTTTCTCTTTTGAAAGCACAGAGATGCTTCCCTGCAAGGTACACTGCCTTACTCCTTCCCAGTCTAAGGAAGAGAGGTGGTGTTATATAGTAGGCAAATGACCTAATGATTACCATACCTTAAAATTCTTTATTTGTTGAGGATCATATTTTAGTCTTGGCCTTTGGGATTATAAACAAGGAGTTTAATCCCATTGTTGATCATAGCTTGCTGTAATGTGGTTTTTTTTTTTGTACCGGGGATCAAACTCGGGTCCTTGCGCTTGCGCAGCAGGCAGCGAAACCACTGAGCTAAATCCCCGGCCCAAGGATCATTTTTTAAAGAAGGGTATAAACCTTCTATTTCATGGAAAACACTGGGTGTTACTATTCATCTTTTAAGTAACTCTTTTTCCTTTCAAGAAATTAAAAATTTTAATTTACCAATGTTGTTGCTGTTCATGAAAAGACAAAACATGAAAATTTTATGGCTAATTCTTAATTGCTTTCTATGTGTTGAGTAGTTTACTCACATTACTTTCATTTCCAAAATGCCTGTATTATTGTTGTTGTTAATATTGTTTCCATGTTATAGATGAGAAAATGTAGGCTTAAAATATCAAAAAACTTGCCCAATGTCACAGATCTATTACAAAGCTATGAAGATACAAATCTCTATCAGGCTGATGCCAAAGCTTCCTGAAAATAATTTTCCAGATTAGATTTAATGACTCCCCACTCAGAGGGCTAAAGCATACCCAGAACTTTCTGTTCTTTCTATTACTGTATGTGTATGAGAGTGACGAGAGAGAGAGAGAGAGAGAGAGAAAGAGAGAGAGAGAGAGAGAGAGAAAGTGTAAGCATTCAAATTAAATGGTAAAAATTTCTATAGGACTCCATTTTCCTCACCTGTAAAATGGATAGCACCTACTAACCCAGAGGTTTATTGTGAAGACCAAATGAGATAATATGATGAAAGCACTTAGTATACCTAAGATAAAACATTATCATTATTACTATTCAAGTTTCCCTCCTTTGCATAATGGATGTGTTCTGGAGAAGGTGATTATGAAAATGTATAGGCTTAACTTCTATTATCAAATCACAGGGCAATTACATTATAAAATAACAGAAAAAGATTCCTTACAGATTGAGATGAACACTGATGGAAGACAGGGGTTCAGGGGAAGGTTGGATCTATGGCAGCTTTACTGAGAGCAGTCTGTGAGTCAGCAGCAGTTTTAGATCCTATCTCCCTCTTCTCAGCAGTTTTAGATCCAGTCTCTTTGGTCTGGCAGTTCCTGACTCCACTCTAGCAATTTTTAGAGATGAATTCTTCTTTTCCTTTTGTCTGGTTATAAGGTCTAATAAAATGTTTAGGCAACAGCAATATTTTCACCTGAAGGCCCTATCTCAGACATCATATATAATAGAAAATTTCTTCAATGTGAGATTCCCAATTAGGTATATTAATTAGTGTTGTATATACTCTGTATGTTGGGTTACTAGTTTTAGTCATATGCATTAAAAATACTTGCATTAGCTTCATCATATTCATTACATTGAAAAGTTTCTGGCCAGAAGCTATATCTTCTACTTTCTTAGAAACCCCACACTTACTAGTGAGGCCTATAAATAAAATGAAACTTTAAATAGTACTGACTTCACTTTCTACTCATAACCTGACTCAGGCTGAAGAGCTATTTTCTCCCTCTTGTCTCATCAGATATAAGCGTGTCATGTTACTGACTCTGGCCAAGCTACACACTCCCACATTGTCCTTCATGTTGACAGCCTGCTGCATCTTGGGGCTGGCCTATTCTTGAGGTACCAGGACTTTTACTTAAATTAATGCTATAATGTCTTCTCTCAGGACATTCTTTTACTTGTGGAAAATACTGAGAAAGAATGAAATTTTAAAAATAAACCATCTGCTGTCCAGATCTTAGGGAAAGCAGTGATGTTTCAAAACACCAAATTCAAATAATGAAGGGCACAAAAGCCTTATTAAATGTATTCATTTTCTTATCTTTAGAACTTAAGTAGGAAACAAGATCCATGTTCAGCATGCCAACCAGTATCAAGTGAGGGGGCTCAGCATAGCTAGCTGAGGCATATCAGCTCAGAAATATTCTTCATAAATTACAAAGCTCTTGTTCCAGATTATCTTGCATATGCTGGCAGCCTAGAGAGCCACCAGTCAGCCTGTCTGGTTCTAGAAAAATTCATACAAGTCCATTTACATTGTATTTAATATTCTGCCATAAGCAGACTATGGGATCTCTTCAAACTACATTCATTTTACTGGGTTTTTTTGTATTATTATTTTTAATCTCTATTCCCCATGTTATTTTTTTTTTATTTCTAAAGATAAAAAACTAATTAATTTGTTTATTCCATAATAAATATCAAGTATCTCAGGGAAGAATGGTTAGATGATCGATAGCTAAACAGAGGTAGGTAATAGATAAACAGCTAGATAAAACAAATATGAACCATGGCCTCACAAAATGGCTAAAAGAAAGAGACTCCAGAGGGAGAAAACTTTAAATTACATACTAAAGGACACTTGTAATTTCAAGGTATAATGAGTCAGGATAAGTCATTTCAGGCAGAACAAGCAGCATGAACCAAAATTAGCTAATTCATTAGCATGAATTTTGAAAAGCAAATAATTTGTTTTGTGAAAGAAACCAGTAGTGAGAAAAAAACTGAGAAAGTAAATTAAGGTTATATCACAAGGGAACATAAGTATCAACCATCCGTAATCTAGGTCTGAAAAATATAATCAACAACTCTCCAGGTTTCATAATTTCAGCATACTGTAGTATAATCCATTACAATCTTTGATTCTTTAGGCTCCACAAGGGTTATGTTATATTATCGGGGAAGAAAAAGTCCTCATATAAAAAGAATCCTATACCAGCTGAGATTATCATGATTTATCTATTGAAGTTAATCATAACACATGATTTGGAAAAGAATCTTGCCAGCTCCTAATCACATCAACATTGGTCCTTCATTCTCAATTAGTAAATTCTACAGAATTGCCTGAGGGTGGCTGAGACGAGAGGTATCATGAGCACATGTGTGA